TTTTACAAATCTATATCTTTTCAAAGGCTAAGATATAACCACTTCCCTTTTACAAAGGATAAAAAATGTAAACAAAAAAATCTCATAAAATAGATGATTACAAGACTTAAAACTCACAAAGAAAGAATAGAAAGATTTGCAATGACCTTAAAACACTATGTACAAGAGAAAATAGAAAATAAAGATTGAAAAGACTTTTCTCTTGATATTAAAATAACATGAGATTAAAAAGAATTAACCCAAATATATATGCCAACAACATAAACCAAAACATGAATGGATTTATCGTAACATAACCATAAATTAATAGCACAAGTATCCATAATATATGAGTTTCGCACATGAGATCATCACAACATAAACCAAAATAGGATTAATAAACTAATAATTTCAATAAAAAATTTCAGAATATGAATTTTGATCAAACTCTAAGTGGATTCTTCCCTCGGTGTGAGACCCCGTAAGAGCTAGAGTAAGAGAGGTTGATTCTAGGATGAACTAGAAAAGTATTTGGGTTGCTTGGAGGTTAAGGCAACACACCTTAATTCTTCTCTACTACTTGTACGTCATTTACATTTGATTTGCTTGCTTGTATGGGGCGGTGAAGCATAGTAGGGGCTTGGGTGCATGTGGATTCGATGTGATCGATTTGAATATTAGAAATGCATAAAAATGATTTATTATGAACCCTAATGACTTGCACAAACTTTGATAATCACCTTAGGACTTAAAACAAGCATTTAGGATGAATTTGGGGTTGATCTCAAACATTACCCCTTTGATTTCGTCGACCGTTACCGGTGCTACTAACTCTTCTTTTACATTTTGCTCCATGATCAGAAACTCACCGCTGATCTCGTATCCATGACCGACCACGTTAGAGCTCGTGAACATGTTTTGGTAGAAATCTGTAGCCATATCCTTCAACGTTTCTTGATCTCCACACCATGTGTCATCTGACAATTTTAATGCTTTGATCGTGTTTGTCCTTCGTCTGCTCATCGTGGATGTATGGAAGTATTTTTGTATTTTTGTTCCTCTGAAGTACCCATTTACTTCTCGCCTTTTGAAACCATAGGCTTTCCTCTTGTTCTAATATGACGTCAAGCTCTGTTTGTAGTTGCTTTTCCAGGTCTTCAAAAAATAAACGACTGAGCTTTGTTCAAAGCTTTCTCTATTCCCCTAAGCCGAGCCAATGTTTTCCTCTTTCTGACCCCTATGTGACCGAAGACTTCTTGGTTCCAAGTTGACACCTTACTTTTGAATTCCTCCACGTTCCAACAGACATGTGCTTCCCGGTTCCAGTTTGTGTTGAGAAATTCCTTGAAATTGGGATGATCAAGCCATGCAGCTATGAATCGAAAAGACCAGTTCAAGTTGTTGCATTCACCTTCACAACTTTGTAGCAATATTGGACAGTGGTCCGAACCTATTCTTTCGAGGTGCAGTACTCTTGCATTTGGGTGGATTTGTAACCATCTTTCATTCACAAGGCATCTATCCAGTTTCTGATAAAGATTCCCTCTCCTCCATGTGTATTCTGAACCCATAGAAATAATGTCTTATAGTCCCAAGTCGAATACAAAGTCTGAGAAATCCTTACTCACTCCGGACCCTCGTCGAATACCACCTTTCCCTTCTTCCCATCTTAAAATGGCATTAAAGTCACCACCTAGTATCCACGCTTCATTGTTTCCGGGATCCAATTGTTTGAGTTTGTCCAAAAGAAGTCCTATTATCTTTATTCCTGCATCAACCATGGATAAATTGGTTCGAGATTTTCAAGATTTCCGATTCCATACCTCTCCCCATAAAATCCATATGCCTCCGCTAAAGCCCTGTACTTCAACTCTAAATGTTCATAAATCCCAGCTTTTTGATGACATTATCCGCTGTTCTTTTGCTCACTCGAGTCTCCATTAGTGCTACAACCTGAGGTTTGTTCCAGCTTTGGGAAGCAAATGGACTTCCAAGTAACAAATACTTGAAAAGTAATAAATCATACATAATAGTGGCATATATCCTAAATCATTCTTGAATTCTAAGCCAAACAAGTAATTACAAATGTAAGGGCCTTTTTTATATTTCCCAGTATGCTTTCATAAGTACTGTTAAAACACAAAATTAACACCGGCAAAATACTCAGAATTATTATAAATGATGCCATGCCAAATGTTACTTCAATCTAGATTCTCAGTCAACGAGAATTGTAAAAACATTAATTTTAAGGAATAAATTATAAAATAAAATAGGTTCATGTAATTAAATAAAAAGTCAAAGTAGACAGTTCCACACTGAAATTAAATACATTTTAAGGTCACATGCTAAATTTCAAAGCATTTTGAGCTAAATTCTACCTTTAATTTGTGTTTCAAAATTTGAAACTAATGTGAACTTACTCTACATAAAAAATTAAGTAAAAAAGATCTAGTAGGCTCTTTCAGTCGATATCAATACCAATGGCTCGATTTTGATACCAAACACCTGAATTTAATACTAGGTCAACCGATTTCGAAACCGATAATCCAGTTTCAATATTGTTCATGTAAAACTACAAAATTTTAATATTTTTAAGCAGGAAATTGGTCTCCCAATATCACCAATCATCCTATACATGCTCCTAAAGATTCATCAACACACTAAATACATGGAAAAAATCATGTGCCAAATTTATGATCAATAACATCATATATCAAAATTTAGATCACTGAGTACCAATTCATACAAATTTTCACTTTTCAGGAATCTAACTAATCATTTTCGACTCTAAGTGTAATTTACTTAATCCAACAAGTATAACATATCATATACATGTTTTATAAATTGTCCAAACCAAAAAAATAGTATGAACAAATGATTTGACCTTTTAACTCAAGATTCATACAGTTTTTGCATACAAAACATACACAATAGCATACTAGTAATCAGTTAAGTCTAAAATGTTACATGATTTTTTGCATCTTTCATACTTCAACATTACCAATACATCATATGCAAACTATTTATTCCTTATTATTAATTGCCATTGAAGACCTTCACTTGCCTTGCTTCTCTTCCCTTGTTTGTAACATCCTAACTACGATTCCTTATATAATGAACCAAAAACAGCACATTGGATCACTTAAACGACCACTACTTTAAAATCTCTCCTTCATTGATCATAATATGAAATCGTTTATAAATATAACCCATAAAATACATAGTGACATTTAAAATGTGTTTACAAACCGGAGCTCTGTTTACAAACATTTCTCATATTTTATTTCAAAATATAAATAGGGTTATAAACTAGATACATGTATAAGTCTTATGGGTATACAAGTCCACCATAATATTGTACCATGTAATTGACACTACAAGAAAAATACCCTTTAATGACGCGCATTGCGCGTCATCTATGGGTGCGGATGACACAAATGCATGTCGTTGAAGCCACCGACATGAATTTTTTATGACGCACAATTGTGTGTCATAAATTTATGACGTGCATTTATGACGCGCATTTATGACGCGCATGTATGACTTACATTGCGCGTCATTGAAGCCCCCGTCATAAATTAAGATGACGCACATTTGAGCGTCATAAATTTATGACACGCATGTATGACTTACATTGCGCGTCATTGAAGCCCCCGTCATAAATTAAGATGACACACATTTGTGCGTCATAAATTTATGACACGCATGTATGACTTACATTGCGCGTCATTGAAGCCCCCGTCATAAATCTGCTTGACATACATTTGTGTGTCATAAATTTATGACACGCATATATGACTTACATTGCGTGTCATTGAAGCACACGTCATTTAAAAAGACAACAAACGTTTGTGTGTCGTGATTGTATTTCGGAAATTATATATATATATATATAAATATATATAAATATATCTATATATATATATATATATATTGTAGATTGACAAATAATCAAACTAAATCACATTGAATGCCTCATAATACTAAATCTATGTACCATATTATATATAAGCAATCCATTTGCATACAATATATTCACATTAAGTTATCAAAAATATTGTATTAATCATATGTCGATACAAAATATCAAGGCATAATAAAGTTTGCCACATAAGATACCCATTCTTTGCGAAATCATCAATGTCATCATCCGTGTATTCTTCTTTCCCATCGCCAACCTAAGTAAAAAATATGAAATAAGTATATAATTTATACTTATTTAAAGTGAAGTATATAATGAACTATTAAAGAGTACTAAAATGACCAATTTTACATATGCATTCTTTGAAGCATAATAACATTATGCAAAGTCATAAAATCAATAGCATTATAAAAAATTCCAACTTTGTTCACAACAATATCATCACAAATAATAACCACAAGAGAGTCCTTGTTACGTCTATAGTACTTGACAAAATCAAATTTTGGATTTTAAGTGCTAGTACGTGTCAAATGCTTTCACAACTCCACCGAACATTTCAAATTGTTCCTTTAGACATTGATTCATATATCGACAAATAGTATCGATTACCACATGCTTAAAACGTGTAATTAGATTCAAGAATTCACTCATTACATACAACAGAATCTATCAATATATAAAAGAAAATAACAAGAAGTTTACCATCAATGTAATCTTTCACTAAGTTAAATTCACAATATTTTTAAGTTTGTTTTAAATTATAAACGATAACCTCCATTCCATACAGAAACGTGAATCATCAAAATAAAAGAACATTTCAAACTATAAGGTGATAACTAGAAGTCTAGAATAGCATCTAACTATGAGTTTTTCAGTAGAAATAAAAAGAGCATGACAATTCTTATTAATATGAATAGACAAGATGTTATCGTAGATGAATTTCCAATAATATCATCCTACTTCAAGTCCATATGATAGTTGTATGACTAATGTGTATCTATGATATGACAGATGTGTATCAGAAAAGTTTGCTTACATTCTTATTGACCAGCACTTGAAGTCCGTTCTCGACTATCTCTTTCATGAACTTACAAACATAATATCCACACTCGGTACCTCCCGACTGACGGGGACACTACAAACAGTTTACAATAAACGATTAGTCAAAATGAAAGGTGCAATTTAAACAAGGAATGATCGTTTGAAGTCCTCACCAAAACATTGATCCAATTGAGGCTAACCCTTTTGTTAGATCCACTTTGAGCATTGCACAATTTCATTGCCCTATAAAAATTGATGAAATATATCAAAGAATATACTATAATGTTTCGATAATTTATGTTACTTACGCATCAATAACTTGCTTCAACTGCTGATGGACATTGGTGGGCCCTAAGGAATCAAGATAATAACAACTTGTTGCTTTCATATCTATCACCGCCAACACCCAATGTCTTCTATAAAAACGAAAAACCAAATTAAGTTACTAAAATATATTGATAATCAAATGAAAAATCAAATGAAAAAACAAACCCGGGATTATATGGCACTAGGACGATGTCATTGTCCTTTCTTAGAGACAATCGATCTGCAACGCTTCGAATTGCCTCATCGCTATTTTTGAATTTTGCCTTATGTCCTGATGGCGAGATTGCAGACGGGCTCATAAAACAAATTCCATGATCTCTTTTTGGCCCATTCTTGATTTCCTCAAACAAGTACCTATATATTAACATTAGACAAGTACGATGATTAAATATATTGTGTTTTAATAAAATTAAAATTATGCACTTACATCATATAACAAGTAATCGCAGAACCGGTCATCTCATCCACAGTAAAAACCACTTCAAAATCTTCCCAAGTTATATACGTGAAACTCTCGTACCCAAACATATCGTCCTCACATTGCACTTTCACGGACTCCGCATTTTTAAGTTGTATATCAACCATACGTGAAAACACTTTCAAAACACGGTTACTTTCAACTCTTAGCCTTGTCCTCATTTTTGCTCTCGTCCTCCTCCTTTGCGGTGCTCCCTCCTCCTTTTCTTTCTTTCTTTCCCTCTTCGGTGTCCCTTCTTCTTTCTCCTCTTCCTTTTTCCTTTGCGGTGTCCCTTCTCCTTTACCCTCTTCCTTTTCTTTCTCTTTTTCCGTCTTCAGTGTCCCTTCTCCTTTCTCCTCTTCTTTTTCAACAAGTTCTCTTTGTCATTTTTTTCCTTTATTACTTTCTATTTCATCTCCATTCACACGTTTTTTCCCATAAACGCCAACACTTTTTCCTACAAAAAAAATATAAAGATATCATTTAAATTAGACATATATAATTTCTTTAAATAAATGAAAATATTACCAAATCAGAGCATCGAATGACTAGATGTCTAGGCCACTTCACTAGGAACCCCACTGCATCTTTAACCTTGTAAATGAACTCCTCATCTAGTGGAAACGGTAGTAAAGCGTCTCCTTGCACACTCATTTCCATCATTACTTCAATGTTTTCACCTGTTATATAAAGTTATTACTAAGATACAATATTCTAAAAAGTCAAAAAGAAAACTGATATTTTTTATAATACCTGATAGATCATTGTGCTTCACTATTGTTCCTTTGGCAACTATATTGGAGGCAATATCAATCGCAAGATAACAGGAAGTATCCTACAAATTATATATATATTAGTTGTAGTCAAGACTTACATTTAATTCATACTATAATTTAATAAGACTTACAAGTAATTCCTCGGGTGGGTTGTCTTCAAAATCTGCTTTGCCCCACCCTTGGCAACTTACGCCTTCAGAAGCATGATTCATCCCTTTTTTGTAGTTTCTCTATTGCACCTTCAATTTGGTTGAACCTTTTTTCAATCTTTTTCTTCTCACCATCTAAGTAGTTCTTCACGGTATTGGGCAAGACAAAAGTATTGGTGTGGCTTTACAAATTTGCCCATCCCTCGTACACGCCCACGTTGTTCCTGGGTACCTAGGGCTTGGGTAAGCATGTCATTTGTTCCACAACTGACCTCTCCTAAAGTTTCTGACTTCTAAATCTCTTCCTGTAGTGAAAGCAAATATTCATATTCAAAATATTCAAAGGATTAAAGCTCATATGGTGCTATAACAATAAGATGAAAATAAATAAAGTAGGAATGTTCACAGGAACTTACCATTTTATCAACAACAATCTGAACATTCGGGTCATAACCTCCTTTTTCATTTGTCTTGCCTTTTTCCACAATAATGCTCTATCAATCTCGTCTTCCTCCTTTCCCGTTTCTTGCATCTAAATTAAAAATAATAACAACAATGAATTAACATAAACAAATGCATATCTAAACTATTCAATTAATTTACTACATACAATCTCAAGAGTTAGTCCAGCATATCCTTTTCTACTCAATCGATGATTGTATCTATGTTGTCCACGCATTTTTTTAGCTTTCTCACTTATTTCCTGCATTAGAAACATTAAAACAGTCAAAACTGGTTTCTAGAACTAATATATATAACAAATACCGACAAATACAGACTGGTTTCTAACCTCCCACTTCTTTGAAAGTCTTTGCGATACAAAAACCGTCCACTCATCTATCTTCAAATAAGGATACATCTCTGGAGGGTTGAGCAGATTTGCATTAGGGTCATTCTTAAACTTCTCAATGAATTTCTTATACAGATAATGCTTAAAGTTCTTCCACTTTGTCCCAATGGATTAAAGGGTTTTCTTCCGACTCCTTGGATCAAGTTCAAAATTCATCTGAAACACAAAGCATTAATTAAAAAAAATATTTTTTTTAACAAAAAAAAATATTAATTGGAAGTTAAGATCAGATGTTAGACTTACCAAAATGTATTGCCATAAGTCTTCTTCTTTTTCCTGTTCAACATCTCCCCAAGTGGTATAAGTGATAGGCACCATTGATCTTGCTACCATGCCCTCAAAGGAAGCAAGTTTCGTTGCTTCAACGCCAATCGGAACACCCTTTTTATTGTAAGTAACGATAACTTTTCCTTTAGTAGTTTTTCCCTTTATTGTCGGACCTCTTTGTTTAGAGTCTTCATCATGACTCGAAGACTGATCTGATTCCATGGTACCAAGTACAACCTGTTTCAACATGATTGAAATAAAAAAAGTTAGTACATTGCTATTTCTTGCAGTTGGGACAAAATTAATAACATACAAATGTTGAAATAAAAACATACCAAAAAGTAAAGATTTTATTTTGCAAAAAATATTTTAAACTAATATGCCCTCGCCATCCGGGCGTGTACACAAAAAATCATCATCAAGTTCTACTAAAGGGGAGTCTTGTGAAAAATCAAAAGTAACATGGTATTCCAACATATCATCAGTTTCACCATTTGCTCCATACTTGTACATCTTATGTGGTCTGAAGCCGACAACAGACAAATTCGCATCTTGTTGATCTTGAACATAAAAAACTTGTTTGCCTTGACTAGCTAATATGAAGCGTTCAGATTGGTGATCAAGCCTAGCAAAGTTAACCACTGTGAATCCAAAGTCATCTTTTTTTATTCCACGACTATCAACCCAATCACACATGAAAACAGGAACAGTGAATATACGATAATCAAGATCCCATATCTCCTGTATACGACCATAGTAAGTAACAGCTCCATACACGGGATTGGAGTCTTTTGCACTAGCAATCTGCATAGCATGTGCAACTAGAGATACTCCACTACATTGAGTTGTTCTTGATTCATCTCGAGATGTTGTATGGAACCGATACTCATTTATGGCAAAACCGCTATATTTCTTCACAGCAAAACTTGGCCCTTTGGCCAACCAACGAACACTCTCACAAATGTCTTCCCCGTTAGCGAAATGTGTATCAACCTTGGTCTTAAGCCAACTAATAAATGTTCGACTGTGCTGAGTCAGCAACCATTTACTATTTCGAGAGGCACGGGGGTTATGATCCTTCAATTCCAACATATGTTGCCTAAATAATATTTGAAGATAGAATCATATTAGAAGTTAGAAAAAGTTTAATGCATTATATAGAGTACAAAGAAGACACAGTGGTTCTTACTCTATATACGGCTCCACATCAGCAGTATTTCGTAATACATAAAGATGAGCTTCATCAAGTAGCTTAGCATCTACAACCTCGACTGTACCCCGTGATAAAGGTTTGCCGGTGCGAATTCTTTCATCAACACGTTCATGAGGATTGCCAATTGATTTCATATTTTTTAAGTAGTTTGAGCAAAATTCCAAGGCTTCCTCTGCCACATAACATTCTGCAATACAACCTTCGGGTCGATGATGATTCCGTACATAGCCTTTGAGTGTTCTCATGTATCTCTCAAATGGATACATCCACCTAAAATGAACCGGGCCACATAACCTCACCTCTCTAACTAAATGCACCATCAAGTGGATCATGACATCGAAAAAGGAAGGAGGAAAAAACTTCTCTAACAAACACAAAGTTAATACGATGTCACTTTGCAACTTGCCTAGCTTATTAACATCAATGACTTTACTACACAACACGTTGAAAAAATGACACAAACCTATGATTGTTTTCCTCACTTTCACATGTAACACCCCCTTTATTGCAAAAGGGAGAAGTTGTTGCATCAGTACATGACAATCATTAGACTTCAAACCATTCATCTTTGATACATCATCAGACACGAGATTCTTGAAATTTGAACAGTACCCATCAGGCATTTTTATGGTAGACAGGGTCTCGTAAAACCGGTATTTTTCTGTGGTATTCAATGTGTAGCACGCAGGCGGAAGCCAAGTACGATTCCCTCTTGGTTGAGTTTGTAATTCAGGCTTAATGCCCATCGCCTCAAGATCTTGTCGTGCTCTTAACCCATCCTTCGTCTTGCCAGGCAAATTCAACAATGTCTCATAAACACTCTCACACACATTTTTCTCTATGTGCATAACATCTAACTGATGACGAACGAGCAACTTCTTCCAATATTCAAGTTCAAAAAAAATCGATTTATTGTGCCAAAATTTAGCTCTCTCATCGATGCTTTCTTTTTCCTTCTTTGACGTTTTCTTCTTTGACGTTTTCTTCTTAGACGTTGTCTTCTTACCCCATGAAGTCTCAAACCCCGTCAGATAGTCGTAAATCTCTTCACCTGATAATGGTTGTTTTATAACACCATCCTCTTGTTGATTGTTGAAATCTTTTTTTCTTTTACGAAGAGGATGTTGAAGTGGCAGGAATCTTCTATGACCAAGAAAGCATACTTTTTTCGAATTTGGCAACCACTGTGAACAAGTATTCTCTGAACATATTGGACATGCATAATAACCTTCGGTAACACACCCCGAAAGATTACCATATGTAGGAAAGTCATTTATAGTCCAAAGTAATATTGCTCTTAGATTGAAGCATTCTTTCTTATATGCATCATATGTCTTCACGCCAGTTTTCCACAAGAGTTTTAGATCTGCTATCAATGGTGCCAAGTAGACATCAACATTGTTACCAGGTTGTTTTGGACCTGATATCAATAGAGTCAACATCATGAATTTTCTTATCATGCACAAATAAGAGGGTAGATTATAAGTTATTAAGATAATCGGCCAACAACTATGCTTGGAACTTAATGACTTGTGAGGATTGATACCATCAGCGGACAAGGCTAATCTAAGATTCCGTTTTTCTTCTCCGAATTCTTTCCACATTCTATCAACAAGCTTCCAAGAGGGGGAATCGCGAGGATGACTTAGCATACCATTATTTGCCAGACCTTGTGCATGCCAAGTTAAGTTTTGTGCCATTTCTGGTGACGAAAACATTCTCCTAAATCTGGGGATGGGAGGAAAATACCATAAAACTTTCGAAGGTACATTTTTTGGTATTCTTCTTCCAACGAGATGTGCCACAAGTTGGACATTGAGAAGCATTCTTATGTTCTTTCCAGAATAGAACACAATCGTTTTCACATGCATGAATTTTTTCATATTGTAGACCTACTCCTTTTAGCAATTTCTTGGCATCATATAGGGAGTTAGGTATTCTATTGTTTAATGGTAAGACATCTTTTAGGGCACCTAACAATACTTCAAAACTAGCCTCAGACCACCAAAATTGACCCTTGATATGTTGGAATTTCAATAATCCACTAAGTGCATTATACTTTGACCCTACTTAAAGTGGCTTCTCACATTCTTCAAGAAGTGACTTCAATGAATCGGGTTCTTTTTCTACATCTCTGAAGGCATCATGTAGCATATCTCTTGTATAATCAAAGTCGGGAGGAATAGATTTGTTAGGGCATCTAAAATCAAGCTTGGGCTGTCTTTCTCCATGGAAAGACCAAACCTTATAACTTTCATCGAAGCCATAGGCAAACAGATGATAGCGCACGGTCTGAATTGAGTGGTGCCACAAATTAATACAATGTATACAAGGACATCGAATAAGATCTGAATTTGGATCATTACTTTGTGCAAAGTCTAGAAAGATGTTTACACCCACTTCATATGCATCAGATAACCTATCAGACGAAATCCATGCTTTATCCATCGACCATTACTTACCAACCTAAATAATTATAAAGTATTAGCAAAACTACAACTTTATAACTGATGATTGATGAAATATTTATGTAAGATATGAAGAACAAAATGTTTACCCCAAATTACCGAGTACAAAGTAACCCTAACAAATTCATTTTGTACTATGCTATAGAACAATGTTCAAGGGTTATGACCCATTCTTAAAATCTAAAAATCCTATTTGAAACTGGAACAAACCCTAACAATGTTAGATAAATTATTGGTGTTAGCCTATTCGATATCTTCTAACGTTCTTGGTGTTAACCTCAAAATCTCTGTCTTGTACTTGTTGTAATTTAAGTTGAAGCACATGGTTGTAACATGAGAAAGCCTCATTGCCTATATTCGTAAACATCATTCAAAGAATGTTGCCTAAATCTAAGTTAATAATCGTATTTTATGATACTTGAACTCAGGTGTGAGCATCAGATAGGAGTACATGTCTAAAACGATTATATTGGACAGAAGATTCTTAAAAGTCATATGCTAGTACCCATATGACAGAAAAAAATGTTAGAAATAAACACTTCAAGAAAAGAATGAAAAGTCGGAGCAACATATAGTTACAAAATTCGACTAAAATAAATAATAAGATAAGATGCCACTAACCAGTATACCCAGAGAACTGTGGATATTATGTATGGGGCATTTCTTGAGAGAGACTCAGCAAAGGAATGTCATGTTCCATCCAATGATAGCATCCGTGCCAAAGTTATGCCAACCTACATTTATCAAAAACAAAAATTAAATTTCAAGAGGGAGTGTTTAGTTAAACTAGCAAAACAATAAAAAGGAAACTATGCTACTCGAACGTAAGTATGAGTGTCGAATACATGTATTATTAGATTTTTTAAAGTTATTTCTATGCATTTAGAAGATCTTTGGAGGTCATATCCACATATCTATATGTCCGACACAAAATGTCAGATACCGATACTTCAAATGAAAAGAAGAATCCAAACAACATAGAAAGCAGAAAAAGGCAGGAAAAGTTGTGTTAGTGAAACATTAAGTACCAATGCAACCTTCTGCACCAGATATTTAAAGCCTCTTCACTAATGAAAAGTCAACAACCAGCAGCCATAAGCAACCAAAAGTAAATCCATTTGAAACATGACAATTAGGTAAAAACTTGGAACCATTCTAGTTAGCGAATGAAATACATATGTGGGAACTGGGAAGAAGAGGCA